ATCACAACCTCTGTATGCACACCTACCTCCCTGGCGTGCGGGAAAAGCCGACCGGGCCGTTTCGATCGCTTGGGCGAGCCGCCGAAGTTCCGAAGGACTCAGGACTGAGTGTGGGTCAACACCGGGCTGCGGTTGACCAAAGAAAATGAACCGAATGGACTATAGGAGGTCAACCTACCAGGTTGAGTTCCGGGCGAAAGGGATGCAAAGACCCACCGCCATCTGCTGGACCATTGGTCAATCGTGACCCGTCCTGCTTTGACATCGCATGGAAACCAAAGGCCGGAAACAAGGAAAACCTGACGAATAGGCTCCAATAGGCTATTCTATGCAAGGTGTTGGGAGAGCCCCACTCCTGGCAAGGAGGTGATCCACTGCAAGGCATGGAGCATCCTTGCATTTATGAACTTGTGTTCAGCATGTTGGTTCACCCAAATGTATGCCCATAACTGTCATGGGTCTAGGTCAAAACCATAAGTGAGCTGTTTTGAGTACAATTTCTGAACCACTACCAGGTGACTCTGCATACATGTATCCTGAGATTCTTGAGACTGTTTTCTCAAAAACAAGCACCATAAATAACCTTTAAAACACGACCAACATGTATACGCACATACATACATACATACATACATACATACATTGCATATCATTGAATAACTCATTGAACATACTATATGTACACACATAATTACATTCGTTACCAAAACAGCTGCTAACTGCTAACGTTATATAAAATAACCTTGGTTCTTCCCACCCTTCGTGAAACACCTCCCAACCTTGCGCAAAAACACCTCCACGCTCGGACGGGCTCGGACCGGCCTGTGCGCCACAGGCTTCGGCCACCTTGAGGGCGAAGTCGCCCACCTCGGAGGAGTCGAGTCGAGCCGAGGACCGGGGAGCACCTGTGGGCACCGGGACGTGTTGTATTTGGAAGGAAGATGGGAAGATCATCCAGTCCGGAGAGAGGCTCCAGGTTTTCCTATCATGACCATTCGGTCGAAGGGTCCGAGCTATGGACTTACGAAATATCAGTTGATGGTTCAACACGTCCTTGTTCAATACGAACGTATGCAACAAGTGAAAGCAGCACCTTGCAAAACAAACGAGACACATACCAGCAGTCACGTTCGACGGGGTGCTATCCATGGAGCTTCGGAGTGCCCCTGTCACATCCACGGCTCCTGGATGGGACTAAACATGACTAAACACCACCCCCGACTTGCGACTCCTAGATGTGATTCACATCAAACCAGGTTTTTGCATGTTTTTGCCCAAGTTTGTGGTTTCACGCTTTGTTCAAGTTCTTAGACACACACACACACACACGCATGCTGCTTTCAAGCCTCGAACGTACAGCTTGGATGTGAAACGGAGGTGTTCTTGGCGCCGCACCAGGGGAGCAGGCCTGGGAGTGGCTGCTGGGAAACGGAAGGTGAGGATCCCATCGAATGCCATGAACAAGAGCAAGCAAGTGATCAGTGCACATCAAGTGTACTATATAACTTATGGAGACTATACAACAAGTGTACTATATCACTATATAACAAGTGCATATACGCTTATAGTTATATATATAGTTGTATAGTGTCAATTAACTTTCACATTTCTCTATATATATATATGTAACTGATGCAGTGGCCGCGTATAGGACTGATAGGAGACTACGTCCCGTATGACCCGGGCGAGTGCCCCCAAAACACCGGCACACGGGTGTCTATAGCAACAAATTATGCAAGGACACCTGGAGCCAACAAAACACCATAAAAAACATGAGAAAATAATTAACAACTTATGACGTTGTGAAGCCATTCTTACGTTATTGCGGTAGTTCAACCCTTTTTGTTACGTATTAAAAAAGTGAACCTCCCCAACCATACAATGCCATACAACCAAATTTATTAACCCTACTTTTGTTGGCCCAAACCTTCAGGACTTCTTCGGTCGTTCGACAGTTCCACAAACCAAACCGGCATAACTCTCCACAGAGTCCAGGAGTTTCCCCAAGCAGCAATGTTGATATTCCTCGATTTTTCGCAAACATACTACCGGGTTCTTCAAAAAAACAGCCATCGCCAGAGTTGTTCCACGTCATCGTCTCAACCCCTTGTACCCCAACTTCAATGTTGTCGGGTCAGGTTCGGTATCAGCGGCCTTCAGAAAAAACAGCCATTCAGGTCGGTACATGTCAGGAGACCAATCAGCAACATTGAGCTGGGGGCATACGGGGGATTCAAGAAATCTTTTCATTTGTTGACAGTGTGTTGACTGTGTGTTGACTGTCAGTTGCATGGCAGGCGCAAGGAAT